GGCGGGGCATAAAGAGCGGGACCTCACTTCCCCGTAGTCACTGATAGGTTAGTACTGATAGGTAAGTTAGGAGGAGGAAGAGAAGGAGAAGGAGAAGGAGGAGGAGGAGGAGGAGGAGGTGGTAGTGGTGTAGCGTGTTGGTCCAAACCCGAACGAGACCCATAATTCGCGGGCAAGTGGTCTTTAGGGTGCAGGAGGAACGGCCGGGACGCGGGAAGCACCGCCAACTACACAAGCCCTCAAGAATAAGAAAAACAGATGAATTAAAGAACACGAATGATAACACGAGCAGAGACAACGGAAAGGGAGAATGGTTGGCGGAGTAAAATTAGGGGGGTTGGGAGAGTGAGGGAAGGGTAAGTACATGTGAGAGGGGCCGCAGCAAGAGTCAAGATGGGATGGATGAAGGGAAAAGGTGGAGAAGAGAAAATGGGATTTAGGTAAATATAGATGTGCTTAGGGAGAGGAAGAGGAGGAGGAGGAGAAGAATGGGTGGACTGTGCCAGGCTGTCATCAATCAGTCATCCCAGCCAATCTTGTGGGATAATAGACCAAACGCCCCAGGAGGAAAGCACAACGCTAAACTACCAGCAAACATTACCTTGTTATTGTCTGCGGGTTGTAAGGATAGCTGAGTCTCCCCCCGTCAACGCAGCTTCCACCAATTGTGCGGGCGCCAGGGAAGTGAACTCTCCTAACGCCCTTTGTTTAATATTATTATTAAGTACTCGGTACATTACAAGAATTCCAGTTGTGTTTGTGTGGGCCGGAGTTAGTGGAGGACCCTGGCGCTGCTTCGCGGTGCCACAAGATACCTAAACTTGTGTCTGGGGAACTGTGAGGACGCCTCAACCCTCCAGCCGTAGCGCAAGCCTTCTCATACATGCTTATTTGGCCTTGAATAATGACAATGATTTCGGTTGTAAGTGTAATGTAACTAGCTTTGGTGACCAGTGTTTGAGGGCCATAGCGTGTGAGTTACGGGGTACCTGATGAGTGTCTTTGGCGAGTTTCTGGCAATCCGTCTTGAGTATTTACGGCCCGAGTCACTTGATAAGCGGTCATTATAGGATAAACACGGAGCATCCAAGGATAAATTTCAGTGTTCATCTTGATTAATTATCCTCTCCAGCGCGAATGATAATGGAACTGCAGAGGTTCTGAAAGCAGACCGATTGAATTCCAAACAAAGCCTGCATAAGTAACCCGTTAACCACCACTTGGGCCAGACCTGGAATAGGGTTATTAAGGGCGGGATAGGTCATTATCCATTGGCCAATGACCGCCGGGCTCTCGCGTCCTCTGAAATGATATTAATATCATTCACGGGGTGAAGTGGAATGTATGTAGCTTTGTATGAATGTGTATATGCACGTATTAGTCAATGTAAATGTACATAACATGCCTGTATGAATGGATATGCTTTGATAAATATTAATATCTATGTAATGCAAGCTGCCTATCTATATATATATATATACATATATATATATATATATATATACAGTATATATATAATTGTCATGGTATGATGGTGATAGGCGGGGGTTCCTAATTTGCTCTCTAGTGTACCTATTACTTCAGTGGCGGAGGCTTTATTTTGTCTGCACGGAATGACATGCAATCTGTCGAAATTCTAGAGTCCCGCCCGTGCCTCTGTAACCCCTTCTTGTGTTATCAGAGCTACGGCGCTCTTCAGGGGCCCCGTGCCGCTCTTTGTGTGGAGGGTGCTCTAGGTGCAGGCATCTGGCTGTATATTGGTATTCAGAGTCTCCGTTCTATAAGTCTAGCGTGATCAAAGGGGGCTTTGTCTGGCTTTATCTTGTCGTAGTCTTCCAGCAAGAGAGTAGCGACATTTGCAAATGCGATGTGAATATTATCGATAGTGATCTCCCTCCTCTCTGTGTGAAAGGGGTTCGCGCGCTAGTTGTCTTCGCATGCTCTCGTCTAACTGCCCTTTCGGAACGCTCAATGTATCGTTCCGTACTTTCGGCTGGTTATCTGTAACCAACTTATCAGTACTTTCTCCACCATCTTCACCTTTCCAGACAAGAGCTGGTAGCGGGGCTCACTTCCCTGCTCTACAGATCCACAAACAGCTGCTGATATCTTGCATCCTACTGCCAGAACTCCATAACCATCTTTTCCTTCTAGTTCCTCCTGCTCCCTCGCTGCTCCCTTCCTCCTCCTCCTCCTCCTTATCTTTAAACAGCTGGCCGTATTCCCCCTCCTGATCCCCATCCACCCAAGCACCGCACATACACAGGGACAGCGGCGGCAGGTTCCAGTTAGTTTCCAGGAGTTATTCCCAGCTTTATGGGCCAGGCTAAATTTCCCGGGTAGACAGTGAGTGCTCTCCCTGGAAAACTTGCCATGTACGCTGATGAAGCCTGACGGGAGGCTCAAAAACTTCCGCCTCCCTTTTTGTTTTGGGGTCCATTTTGTTTCTGGTACTGACCCGATGCTTACCGAGGCGGCGGGGATGAGCAGGAGGAGGATCCTGATGTGAACTTGTTTAGTGGTTACGAGGGTCAGCTTGTAGTTTTCCAGCGGTTGATAGTTATCACCTCTGTCCCGGGTGTGATCTCCTTGCCTCGTGTGCTGGATGGTGTGTGTGTGTGTTCTGATGCTGCCATAAGGAAGCGTCTGGCCCGAGTCTTCTCGCCTGTTTTATTTAACAGTGAGCAGGCAGATGACGCCCTCATATATACACAGCTTGCGCTAAGAGATGTTGGTCGTTTGTGTGAACGCGTGTGATGTCTAAATCTTGCGTGAAGCAAGACATAATTCCCAACGGGTACGCTTTTTAAGGTACGAGCTCCTGGGAAACGTTGTTCTCGTCTCTGTAGTATTTTGCGGCATTTTGTGTTCCCCATCATCTGGAAGTGGCCATCGTGCGTGATAACAGCCATCCAGATGTCAGAGTCCAGGCCTCTTCATTCCTGCCTTGTAGAGTCGATTTCTTGGCATTGTATTTCGCGTAAATTGTTTCCTCAGCGGCCATCTAACGCCAGCCATCCTTGTAGCCGGCCGTTCCCCACAAAGTTTAGTCATAAAGGCCTGGCAATGGGGCAATAAAGGAGGTTATGGCACATACGTGAAGACTCAGGATTCTGGAAAACTGGAGCATTCCGGGCATCATTCGAGCCCCTTCTTAAAT